GTAGCCTCGCTTCGCCGCCCGCCCACCCATCACCTCCAGTCCTCCCTCGCCCTCTCCGCCCGCCGGGATGGAGCTGGAAGCCTCACTGGAGCAGTCGGTGCCCAGGGGCATGGCTTTAAAGTGGCGGCAGGGTGCCGACTGCTCCGCTGCACTGGCAGAGCCAGCCTGGGGGACAAGGGGCAGCCGAGCCTCAGCCACCCGAGTAGCCTCGCTTCGCCGCCCGCCCACCCATCACCTCCAGTCCTCCCTCGCCCTCTCCGCCCGCCGGGATGGAGCTGGAAGCCTCACTGGAGCAGTCGGTGCCCAGGGGCATGGCTTTAAAGTGGCGGCAGGGCCCCAGCGGCAGGACTTTAAAGTCCCGGTGCTGTCCGCCATAGAGCGGGTCCCAGTCCCGCTCTATGGCAGACGCGGCGCCGGGGCTTCAGCGGGGCTTTCGTGCTTGCCTCACCGGCCATGAAGCTCACCGCACCTCACTGGTAGTTAAATGATAGAGGTCCCATAAATCTTTCCTCTTACAGACAGAGCAGCAGCTGGGAAATTGTTTTATTTTTATTTCATTACTTTAACATACATTCCTATCCTGGGAATTTATGTGAAGAATCATCTATATATTTTTGTGGTAAATATAAAACAAAGAATTGGCTTCTCAATATTAAGACAAAAATCTACACCATTATTCAAAGCCTCTTAAGAACAAAATGCTTATTTAGCATAAAATGAATCAAATCATGCCAAATATTATTTCCAAAGCCAAAACCATATTAACAAAGCCAAATTCCTATTCTTGAGTGTTGTTCTTTAAAAAAAAACACTGAACAACTGCCATGCACAACTGTACCTTTGCCAACCTGATGCACTGTTGCATTGTCTGGAGAAATTCAACATACCTGCAAAGCATCAGGATGAGAAAAACTGGCATTGAATTTATACATACAGATCCTTCCTTTCATTCAAATTATGATCGTTCTCCCAGTGTGGGATCTTTTTCAGCATACTAAATTGCAAGGAGTGTTGGATTTGTTTTAGATCCTTGCATGGCATTTTCTAATGTTTTCAATCAAAAAAATATCGTTATTTAATCATTGGAAATAAAAAAAATCATATTGAATAATAGCAGCAATTTTAAAGCAGCTCAATTATATGCATATATATGCTTTGAATCTCTTTTTTTCAACTATTTTTTCCATTGCCAAGGGATTAACAATTTAAAATGTGCTTTTACCAAGATGATATAAATATTCTGCTCTGTGCTAAAAATTTAAATATAGCTATTACCATTCAATTAACATTTAATAATTTCACACAATGAAAAATTAATTTATTCAGCTATAATCCTAATATTTTAAATTTCTAGGTACAATTTTCTTAAATTAATCAAAAAATAAAATATATATTGTCAGAATATTTGGATCTTTGTTTCATTAGAAATAAAAAGAAATTGAGTGGCCACTTACAATCTTCATTTGGTTGTTAAATTATTTCAGAAATGTAATGTAATTAGCGTTCTGTGAAAATTGGGGAAATATAGAAAGAATCTGAAAATCTCTAACTTTATTCCAGGCCCTTCAACATTGTACAGTAGTGTTTTTTGTTTTGTTTTTTCATTTGCTGAGTCCTTAATCTTAGGGCTTCTAAGTACCAAAAAAGATGCCTCCCATTGATAGAAACTTTTTTTTCTTCATCCTTGTCCCACATTTGAATGCCCATCCTCTGAATATATAAGGCTTCATTGTATAGTTTATTATTATTTGTAATTCAGATCTATGTCTTAAGAATTTTGATTAAATAAGATTAATTTTATATAATAAGATTTGGAATTAAGACATTTGTTTACTATATATTTATTAACAATAATTTGTCCTAATTTTAAATTGTTTCATACTATTTCACTCATTTCAATATTTAAAAGAGAAATAAGCATTTTAAATATGTGCATAAATCATGCAAGTCCTCCTGCCAAGATTATGTACTAACAGAAGAAGACAACTTTTTCAAACTATCTTTCAGGTCAAGTATCTTCATTAACCTTATAAATTATTGCTAAATTATTGTGCTGAAATAAATAATCCAGCCATTTAGGAAATTACAAACACATTTTCCTGTGACAAATGCATAACCCTTCTATTCAGAAGGAAGTGCCACTTTAATTGTTTGGATTGGGGAAATGCTTTTGGGGTAAGAAACAGCAAGAGGGGAAAGAATTAAACACTTTCTTCTTAACCACTCTTCACTTGGAAACCCATTTTAGCTTAGAAAAAGATTTAGGTGCATGTAGCATCTAGTTCTTGCTGTTTTGTGGCGTGTCGGGGACGATTTTTGCCATGTTTGATAAGATAGTGTAGCAACTTATTGAAGCAAGATGGAGTAATACTTTTCCTTTACGTGTGTGTGTGTGTGTGTGTGTTGTGTGTGTGAGAGGGGGGGGGGCTTGCACCTGATCCGAAAGTATATCCTTTCTCTCACTACAGCTGATCCAGTGCCTGAAACAGGGAGCTCTCTCCCGAACCACAGCCAGCACCCAGATGAATGTCCAAAGTTCCCGCTCCCATGCTATCTTTACAATCTACCTTTGCCAAATGCGTGTCTGCTCTCCTGTACACTTGGTAAGGCCATAAGGAGGGGAAGCAGACATCAGAATGGAACATGTCTCTTGCCCCTCTGCTATCAAATGGAAAAGGTGGAATTTTTGGTGGCAGAGATGTAGTGTAGGAATTAGAGACACAACAAGAACTTTGAGTGGATGTAGTGAATGAGAGCTTGGGAGCTTGAATCAGTCTCATTATCTCAGAAGAGGAAGCATGGCTTCTCGTACCAGCAGCAAGTTAATTTGGGGGGTGTATTTTTAGTTTTGTGACAATATAACCATAGTTGATATTTTACATTGGTACAGGTACTAGCAAATTATAACATGTAACCTAATGCTGGGACTTGTTCTTACTATAGGTGAATGGAGACACAAATAGTCTTTTGGATGGATCTCAGCCTACCAGTGAATATGAGACCCGAACAGCCAAATTCCACTTTGTTGACCTGGCTGGCTCAGAGAGGTTGAAACGAACTGGGGCCACAGGCGAGAGAGCTAAAGAAGGCATCTCTATCAATTGTGGTTTGGTATGGTGGATTGCTTTTAAGAATGAATATGGTATATTTGGTTGTTATTTTTTAAGTATATAGCTTTTATTTTATTATTTTCTGTTGGTGAATTGTATTTGCTGCCTTGAGCATTTTTGCTTGGATAGAATGGTGGGGTATAAACAATAAACGGGTGGTGAGGAAGATTAAGATTAAGGCCCCTTAATATTCAGTTGAGCATCTTGTGATTCAGGGAACTCTCTTGCACAGCCACAAGCTTCACTCCACAGACTCTCACAGTCATTTTGAAAAGAGCCCTCTTTGCAGTCATTTCAGAACATAAAGAAATGCTCAGAAATGCTCACTAGTGCTCTATCCAGTTGGCCAAAAATTAGTGCACACATGTTCAGCCAGCACCCTGCCCCTCAGTCTTGCTTCATTCTGAGTTATTTCAAAAACAACCAGGAAGGAGGACAAAAAGCAAACTGGCCCATTTTCTTAATCCCTGAAATACTGAGGAATCATTTTGAGTTATTGGCTATATGGTAGGAAGAGTCAAGGAGCTGGGAGGTAGGATGAGGTTGCCCACTCCTAATCTCTGAAAACTATTTGGTAAACATAAAGGTTCCCCTCGCACATATGTGCTAGTCATTCCCGACTCTAGGGGCAGTGCTAATCTCCATTTCAAAGACAAAGTGCCACTACTGTCTGAAGATATCTCTGTGGTCATGTAGCCGGCATAACTAAATGCCAAAGACACACGGAATACTGTTACCTTCCCACCAAAGGTGGTTCCTATTTTTCTACTTGCAGTTTTGCACACTTTCGAACTGCTAGGTTGGAAGAAGCTGGGACAAGTAATGGGAGCTCACTCCATTACATGGAGCATGATTGTGCAGACATTGAAACTATTCAAGAGTGGTGTAAAGTTTTCATGTGGAAGTGCCCTCAATAGTTTAAGGCCTCTACAAAAATGAGTTTGGACATATTGATTAAGAATTGAACTGTTGATAGCATGCAGGTTTCATAAAAGGGGATTGCCTATGAAATGTATTATGTATTGCTTCCGGAGGGCAGAGTTCAATTTACTGGAATAGCTGCAAATAATTTGGTCTTTACAAAAATATGGAAGTTTGACTAATTTATGTTTTCAATCAGTAACTTTGACATTTAGTTAAAGGGCTGCATCTTGGATCTCTTTTTCATGTCAAATCCTAGAAATATAAAATATGAATGTGACATTGACTTTTTGAAACATGCATCATATAATACACTTGTTGCAAAAAATTTCTAGTGTATGTATAGCACCAAGCAGTATTATCTGACCATGATTATTTCAGACCTTGTAAATTAGGTGTTATCTTGCAAAACAGTGAAAAAATTAAATAACAAAAGCGAAATGGCTCATAAAAGATCGAAGTAGTAATGCTCAGTATCCATCTGGAGGTAAAAAAAACCCATGAAGAAGAAAACTGGAAGTCCACTGGAAGTCATATATAAAACATAAATATTTGACCAATATGTATTTTTACCAAATACATTTTCCCCATTATTATGAGGGTTAGGAATTTTTAATAAGAGTATATTGGAACTGATGTGTGTTTCATAAATAAAAAGGCAGTTTTATGTTGTTCAATGAAGGTGGTTTCCTAGTCTAGCTGATTCCTGTAATGGAAAAATTGTGTCATTTTATCAGTCTGATCTTCCTTTAAGCGAGGAGAAGCCACTTCCCAGCCAATGTGTGTTATAATCTAATAAGCAGGGAATGGAAGGAGGAAAATAGTCTGGAACTCTGATGGTTATCTGAGAAGAATTTATGGAGTAACAGTTCCAAAATAAAGGCAATAGGGAAAAGAAGACAATTTAATTCCTGACCGTTCTATTTCTCTGACAGCTAGCATTAGGAAACGTCATCAGTGCCCTTGGGGATCAGAGCAAGAAAGCGTTGCATGTGCCCTACCGAGATTCAAAGTTGACCCGGCTTCTCCAGGATTCACTTGGTGGAAACAGGTAAATGGAAGCAAATATTAATAGAGCTCCTTATGCCCGACCGGAAGTCCATAAAAGCATTGGTATGGGGTTGCTGGCGTTGAGCATTTCAGATAAAATGACTGCTCATGTATGGCCACAGATGTGCTTAATCAGAAGTCAGGACAAGGCCACCAGAGGTGTTTGAAAGAATGAATTTTTAAACATGTTACTAGCTTACTGTTCAAAGCTAATATGGCACTGAAAAAACTGACATGACAGTTTTCACACTTATGACCATTGTAGCATCCCTGTGGCCTAGTAATCAAAATCCAAATGTTTGGTAACTGATTCATATTTATGGCAGCTGCAGTTTCCTGGGGTCATGTGATCACCTTCAAAGTCAATGGGGAAGGCAGATTCACTTAACAACCATATTACTAAGTTAACTACAACAATTCACTTAACAACTGTGGCAAGAAATGTCATAAAATTGGGTAAAACTCATTTAACAACGTTCTCACTTAGCAACGGAAATGAGCTTAATTGTGGCCGTAAGTCAAAGACTACCTGTGCATTTTGGATCTGAAATCCCCTGCTTCCTATTCATTATTGAGCAGATAGTTTAATAATTCGCGGATAATCTAGAAGAACTGCGTTTTTCAGAATTATGAGTGGGGTCCTTATGTCATCCTATATACATAGTTTGGAGCACATGCTTGTTGAGCTGCATTCCCAGATAAATCAAACCCAACCTTTATTGTCAATATGCAGCATGTGTACAGTGAAATTGAATAAGACTTCCAAATAAACATATTTGGAAGAAATCAATATTAAAAATGCCTTGACAAACTGCTTTGTTATTCCTATTTGGGCACAGCTGACATTACAGTGTTTTTGAGTCCCTCTGTTCTCCGCTTTTATAGCCAAACTGTGATGATTGCCTGTGTGAGTCCTTCAGATCGGGATTTTATGGAGACCCTGAATACCCTTAAATATGCCAATCGTGCTCGCAACATCAAGAACAAAGTGGTGGTGAATCAGGACAAGACCAGCCAGCAGATCAGTGCCCTGAGAGCTGAAATTGCTCGTCTCCAGATGGAACTTATGGAATACAAGGCAGTAAGTAGAAGCCATGGGCAACTGCTTGTTACTGGGAAATTAGTGTTTACTCCTAAATCAAATACAGACTTCTAGCATTAGAAATATCTTTCATGATTTCAATATGTTTTTGAGTCTTTGATGTTTTATATAATCCCACTTAAATACTTCTTTAATAAAACCCAAATCAATTTTTATGAGCTCTGTCTCACTCTTTTTCTATCATCTTCTTTTCTGCAATAGAATCATGGGTGGGTTCCTACCTATTCAGTCTAGTTCGGCTGAATAGGTAGTAACTCTGGTGGACACGTGACTGTACCGGTTCTATTCCCAGCGGCGCCATCTTGATTTTCTGTTCTGCAGGCGCAGAAAAATCTTAATTGAACAAAATGTAATTTTTATTCCTTTTTTAATGTTCTGCGCATGCGCAGGCTGTTTCAAGTGTAAATATGCACACACACAGAGCATTTACAAACTTTTCCAGGCGCTGAATCGGTAGTACCCACCCCTGAATGGAATCATTATATATGAACAATCGAAAGCGTTTCTGATGTTCTCTCTTCAAAATGGATATAATGATGAGCTATAATACAATTAGTGAACCCAGAAAATAGGAGCTGACTTAATTTTTCTGCCCCCCCCCTCCATTCTTTTTAAGAGATCCTAGTGTGAAATATTGGCATTTGTGAGGAGTGAAACTACATGTGGAGTACATTTCTCTCTCGGTGTAAATAGATAAGTCAAGGACATGGTTCATGGAGGAAGATAACGTTTGGAGTTAAGGATTAGAATATCCCTTTGGCAATAAGAGCAGAGCTGAAAGTACATTCCAAATTTTCTCAGCTGCTAAACAATCTCTCCCCTCTCTCCAAATACTTTCATCAAATTGTGAATTTACAAGAAAGATGGGACTTAAAAAGCTACTTCTGTATTTTCACTGAATATGTGAACATTCAGAAGTATACTAATTTATTCCCCCGAACTCATTGATTGTGTTTGCACATAATACTTAAGTAAGATTTTTTTAACCATGTTGATCAAGTCTTTTTTCCCAATGAATCATTGCTAAATCCAAACCAGATTGTATTATGCCATTGTGTTATTTCTGAACTAGGTCACTGAATATCCTGCGTTCCCAATGAATTTTTAACTGTAACAATGAAGGAATTGTATCAGCTCTGCTCTGCCATGTAACTAAGAAGTGGGCTTTATGAAGTGTCAGAGGAGAGCTGCTTTGATTGAGGTTCAAATAATAAAGCACCCTTTTGATGTATCTCCAAGAAGTGAAATGAAGTTCCACTTGTAGTCTCTTGCACATTGCTGCTAAGTTATATCATCTTGGCTACTTCACTGGCCTTTAAATCTTTTCTGCACGCTTGCATGCACCAAAGCAGAACAGGCAAAAACTGCTGAGTGGAGGTTTAACTAACTTTTTCACATCAAGATAACACTTCAAAGCAAAAAATGTTTTTCAGCTGAGGCAGCTTCACGTGTCTGTTCTTATGGCAATTTGCCAGATCTACCTATTTAGAAAGACAATACAGGTAGTCCTCTACTTATGACCACAACTGATCCTAAAATTCTTGTTGCTAAGTGAGACATTTGTTAAGTGAGTTTTGCCCCGTTTTACAACATTTCTTACCACAGTTATTAAGTGAATCACAGCAGTTGTTAAATTACTAACACGGTTCTTGTGTGAATCTGGCTTCCCCATTGAGTTTACTTGTTACAAAAGGTGATCACATGGGATACTGCAACCATCATAAATATTGCCAAACATCTGGATTTTGATCACATGACTCTGGGGATATTGCAATGGTTGTAAGTGTCAAGAACAGTTTTTTTCAGTACCATTGTAACTTTGAATGGTCACTAAATGTATTGTAATTTGAGGAATACCTGTAAAAGCAAATTTATTCTGAATTTCAGTCTACAGTTCTCCTGTTTTTAAGTTCTGGCACACACTTATGATGCTTATATGCAGATTTATTTTTTTATGTTGTAGTTTGTTTAAATGTTATCCCGTATCATGACTATAACCTCCTGTGCAGACTTCATTATCAAAAACTAAAAATACAAACCGAAAAAATATCTTGTCTACTACTTCTATTGCTTGTTCAAAAGGATATACTGTATATATGGAAGGCACCCTACTTCAACATATATGAAAATAAATATTTCAGTACCAGAATAGGATATGGTTTTGCTCTATAACAGGGGTGTTCAACTTGATTTCATTGAGGGCCACATCAGGGTTGTGTTTGACCTTGGGTGAGCAGGGGTGTGTGGCCAGGATGGGTGTGGCCAGCTTGATGTCACTGATGCTGGGGGCACCTGTGGTGGCCCAAGCGCTCTGCCAGAGAAAATGAGCTCCCAAGCTCCATTTTTAGCTGAACAGCCTCCTGCAACCCTCTGCCAGCAAAAACAGAGCTTGGGAGGACCCACGTCCCCCGAAGCTGTTTTCTCTGGCAGACGCACTGCGGACTAGTCTTTTGCTGTTTCCAGGGCGGCCCCATGGACCAGATCCATCCCCCGGGCCTTGAGTTTGACACCCCTGCTGTATAACCTCTGCTCTCACAGAATACCCAACTGACAGCTTTTTGTTAATTTCAACCTTCCCCACTGTTTTCTCCCCACCTCAAAGGGTAAGCGTGTTATTGGAGAAGATGGCTCTGAAGGCTACAGTGACCTATACCAGGAGAACGCCATGTTGCAGAAGGAGAATGCCACTTTACGTATGCGGGTGAAAGCCATGCAGGAGGCCATTGATGCAATCAACATCCGTGTCACACATTTGATGAGCCAGGAAGCCAACCTGATTCTTGCCAAGGCAGGTGAGACTGTGAGAGCCAGCTCAAAGCCCAGCATAGAGGGAACTCTGTAGACTTCTTCAGTAACCGTGGAATCTTTGAATTTACAGAGTTCCTTCACTAAGGAGCAGATTACATGTGACATTGTGTATATATGGAGACAAATATGCTTAATCTGGGTACTTTGTTTTTGGACTAACAGCTACTTCAGAAATATTTATTCATTCAGTTTATAGAGCTACATACACAATCTGAAACTCGGGGCAGAGTACACAAGGAAAAACAACAAGTAACTGTCATAAAAGAATAAAATATAATAAAACATGCTAGAGGCAGTTCAGACAAAATAAACAATAAAAAAGAATCATGAAATCTCCTCCTCCTCCTCCATCATCTGGGTATTTAGAGTTTAGAAGGAAGACTGATAGCTCAAAGAGGCAAGAACAATACATAGAGTTACTTCTGAATAGTTCCTTTTCTTGGTGTCATCTACAATAGAGATAGCTGGTCTGACAAAGAGATCCCCTTCTTTCTTTTTCTTTGCCTCTGCCAAATGCTATTACTGCAAAACAAAAACTAACAAAAACTGTGGAACATGTTTGTTAGGCAGAGAATCTACCAAATTTTATCTACTAAAACCTGATGTAGATACCATATTTTTCGGAGTATAAGACGCACCGGATTATAAGATGCACCAAGATTTTGAAGAGGCAAATTCTTAAAAAAAGTTTTGCAGACTTCCCCAAAACAACCATTTTTTTGCGAAAACATCTCCCCAAAAAGGGCATGAATAGCCTTTAGGAGGCTTGTAGAGTGCTCTATGGGGGTGGGGCAAAAATGAGCAAAAAACAGCCTGTTTTTTTGCTAAAATGGGCCCGGTTTTTGTCAAAAAAGGGCATGCATAGCCTATTGGAGGCTTATAGAGTGCTCCTGGGGCCGGGGGTGGGGTGTAGCACCCAGGAACACTCTGAAAGCCTCCTAAAGGCATTTTGGTGATGGGGGCGGGGTTTCGGGAGGAAAAAAATGCTGTATTCAGTGTATAAGATGCACCCAGATTTTCAGCCTCTTTTTCGAGGGAAAAAGGTACGTCTTGTACTTTGAAAAATATGGTACTTTTCCTCCATATTAAAATAAGTTAACTAAATGACTATTGTTATGTATCGTTTGGTTTTAGGATTGTTGCCTATAGCATTCCTAGTAATCAAGATTTCTTACATTTCTAGGGATATTTTTACCTAGCGTTTTCTCTTAACTGAATTGCTTCAGTTTTAAAAGCTGTTTTTTGTTATTGTAGTTTTGTTTTGTTTCTTATTTGTACTTTTTTTTCCAGGTGATGGTAATGAGGCTATTGGTGCTCTGATCCAGAACTACATCAGGGAAATTGAAGATCTCAGGTAAATAGAAACTTTTTTAAAATTTATGTTCAGGTTTTTGGGGGGTGGGGGGTGGGGAGCTATAAGCCATATTCAGATTTGGGAGAGGAAAAGTTATGGTGTAGAAAAAACATTAAAGCACATAGAAATTTGTAATTTTTCAGACGTTACAGAAAGTGTAAATTAAAGTGCCTAATAATTTCTTCACACACAAAAACTGACTTGCTTTAGTTTTACATTTGTATTGGTGGTACTCAAAATGGTACCAGTACAAAAGAGCAGCAGGCTGTACATGCCTAAAAGATGCAGCAAGCACAGCCGACCAAAATGCAGGAACATACAATTGGAACAGCCATAATTTCATAAACTCCCAATAACCAGATTTCGGTGTCATCCAGGCATGCAAGAAAGGCAGAACTGCTGCATTTGTATAGAAAGATATGGATGGAGCAAGACAATACAAAATAAATGTTTAACATTGACAGTTCCTATAAATATACATCTGGCACAAAGGCACAATTGCCAATTTTTAAACTGATGGATAAGATTAAATCTTCCTTATTTGCAGAACTCCAAAAGTTTAAGTTTTCGGTTGCCTGAGGTAATTTTTTAGGACATTTTGAAACTTGTATTTATACTTGAAAATATTGTACAGAAAAAAAGAATTATATCTAACTTTCATGCTACATTTTGATCATTGCTGAATTCTTAGGAAAAATAATTCTTCAGTGTTTGAATCAGTCCTTGATGTCATTAGACAATTTATGCAATGCAGCCTGTTTTCTATGATCTTGAGAATCTGAGTAGGATGAACTTTTAAAATGTATTTCATCCCTTTATTTTTTATTTTTGAGTTTTCTTCTCTATAAATGGGTTGGGGGGGCATATTTTGGAACATATTTTGCTTATTGGTTCCTGTTCTTGTAATATAAAATCTTTTGAACTTAGAATATTGGGAAATTATGTCATTAAAATAAGGTATTAATTGTGTTGTTTCATGCTTTTTGGGCAAATAAATTTTCCCTACCAGAAAACTTCAAAGAAGTTTTTATCTAATGATGATGGTGTGGTTTTGTTTGTGTGTGTCTATGTGTGTCTCCTTTGTAGGACAAAACTCTTAGAGAGTGAAGCTATGAATGAATCACTACGCCGCAATCTGAACCGGGTTTCAACCAGGCTGCCCTACACCCTGGGCTTATCACCAGCAATTGGATTGGGAGATTCACGTTCCCCTGCCACCTCGGTGGAAGCTGAAGCCACTGACGTCCTACAGTGGGCCAAGCAAGATGTTGAGAGGCTGAAGAAGGAGACAAAACAGCGAAGAAAAAGGTAAACCACATTTCCCATTTCATCAAGTGCCAGTGATTGGATTTCGACTTTTTATAACAATGCCTAGGGATGGCTCATCCCCTCTCTCTCCGCCCTTCCTACTCTGCACCCATTCTTGTGTCTTACAGTGGTGGGTTCCGGATCCCGTTGCAAATGGTACAGCTGCAACTGGGCCCGGCATCCTCCACATGAACGCTCGCAGCACGCACGCATGCACATGTGTGCAGCGCGCACATGCGTCCTACCCTCCAGCAAAGCCTCCACAAGCCTCTGAAATGCTCCAGCTGCTCGGCGGAGCGGCGCTCAGGCGCTGTATGCACCAGGCGCATGCGTGGAAGCACCGAAGAGTTTAAAGACAGGTAATGACGACGGGCGGGCTGGTGAGCCCTCCGAAGCACCGGAACGGAATGGTACCTGGTGCTCCGGGCAGGCACCGGTACGCCCATACCGGGGCGTACCACCTGCAACCCACCACTGGTGTCTTAGCAACCATTATTGAAGACTGCAGCTACCCAGAGTCACCTATGTGTGAGTTGGGTGGCTATATACATTTATTAAACAAATGAATGTAATCAGAGGTATGAGTGTGGTGTGTAGTGGTTAAAGGGATTGGGATAGAGTCTGTGAGCTATAATTCCTCCTTGGGCATGACTAAATAGGATAACTTTAGGTCTGTCATTCTCAGCCCTAGAAATAAGACAACAGCAAACTACTTCAGAAAATTTTGTCAAGAAAGCTTTGTGGATTTATCCAGGCAATTGGCAGAAGTTAAAACTAACTTGGGCATGGACATACAGACACACAAATCAGTGATGCAGTAAAAAAATTGCTGGGCATCCCTGCTTTGGGACTTATTTCAATTAGAGTGATAAAACGTAGGGCTAGGATGGCTGGCAGGATTTCTTATTCTGGCTCCTGAATTGTGTATGTATAAGGGTTTGAATTATCTATCATTTGTTCCTCCTTAGTATAAGAAACCAGGATTGGGGGGGGGGGGGTCAAACAGACTTTTAATACCACATTTTTTCTGTTTCTTGGATCCCTAGAGTAGCAATTTAAATGCTAATTTATTAAATAGATTTGGATCTCTAATTAAAACATTATAGATTGTGTTTCAGCTGGCTGAAGAATTTTTACTAAAGTTCAGTGTGTTCTGCAGCAAGAAATAAACACCACTGTGCCCTGTGGCATCACTCCTGTGTAATTACGCATACATTGTACTCATACTGATATTTATAAATTAGGTTACCTTATAAATTAGGTATTGTGTATCTTGTTATTCTGCTTGTCTCTATGCTCACTCTTGTGATGAACGTCTGCTGTTATTGCTAGACTGGTATACATAATGTAAAGATAGTAAGTACGGATGGATCTGCCTTGCTGAGGGCTTGTGAAGATATTGTCAAGTAAAGGGACTTGGCCAAGATTTATAGAAAGATTAATATTTAGACTGGCTGTCCTGTTGGTGTTTTTCATTATCGATATAAACGAAAGCAATGTTCTTTTGATAGTAATGATATCAACTCTGATAGTGGATCTTCTGCCTTTTAAGCTAAAATCTTAGGATAAAAGAAATGGCCTAAAAACAAAACAAATGTTGACATAAAATTCACTTTTCTTTGATAGCCCAGAGAAAGAAGGGTTTAAAAAGCGGTTGAGGTTGCAGCAGGGAAACGAGGCAGATGAGAATGATGAGAATGAGGCAGAAGAGGTAAGAGGCTTTCTTTCTCGTTTGTGTGTAACTTCCATGGTCTTTTACTCACTCATCCACAGGGCTTCATTTACTGCAGAAGCTTGATACAGAGGATAAGAGCACTTTCCCAAGAACAGAGTGCAAGTTCAGGTTGGACTAAAAGGTTCACATATACACATGCACATATGCACATATACACAATTTTGGCACACCTTTACAAAAAGGTTTGCCTTCACTGGCCTAGATCTATTCTAAACCATGTAGGTTTTAAACATAACACCCACCACTTTGTATTTTGTCCAGAAATGAATTGGCAGCCAATGTAGTGCTTTGGATGCCAAGTTTTCTCAATACCCATTCTGATTGAATTTTCTAGTCCTCCATAGTTTGCTGATCTTTTCAGTGGAAGAATATGGTTAAAATTAAGAGGGGAGGTGTGATTTCTAGGAGATAACATCTGACAGCCTCTGGACATTTGGCAATTTAATGTTAATGATTCTAAACCCTGTCTATATGTTGAAATCTCAGCACATTTAAGACTGTCTTAAACATTGCAAAATTTACCCTACCAAATTACCACCAAAGTCAGTTCCCATTGGAGTAAAATGAGCAAACAAAAATTGACAACAGTACATCAAGTCCAAATAGAAATTGGGTGGGGTTAATATTGGGATATCTTCTAAGGAGTAGTATTGTAACTCATTTATTTTTTGTCATGGTTTTCCTCCTATTTAAGGAGGAAAGGGATGAAAGTGGCTGTGAGGAAGAAGGTGGCCAGGATGAAGAAGATGAAGAAGATTCAGGGAGTGAAGAAAGTCTGGTGGATTCTGAATCAGATGTCGAAGAAAAGGGTAAATATCATGCAGTAAATGCTGAAAGATTTCATAGAGTGTAATGCAGTGGTGGATTGCAGGCGGTACGACCTAGTATGGGTGTACCGGAGCCTGCCTGGAGCACTGGGTACCATTCCGGTACAGTGCTCCAGAGGGCCCACCTGCCCACCTGTGCTCCTTACCTGTCTTTAAAGTCTTCGGTGCTTACGCGCATGCGCACGCCGCATACAGTGCCTGCGCTCTGCTGAGCAGCTGGAGCGTCGCAGAGGCTCGCGGAGGCATCACTAGAAAGTAAGGCCCATGTGTGCGCTGCATGCATCCATGTGGACGCCGCTGGCTCCATTCCAACTGTACCGGTTGGAACGGGATCCGGAACCCAACACTGGAGAAATGCCATCACTGTAATGATTAAAATATGAGAACCATCATATCAAAACAGATTAAAAATTCAATTTCGTCCAGCAACTGTTTCCACATTGGCCTATCACTGGGCCAATGAAAATCTCAGAAGTAAATGCATTTACTTCTATAGCAAAATAATTTTCCCATTCATATTTGTCAACAACAAATAAATAAATGTTTCCTGGTTTCAGGTGAATGCATAGCAGCATACTAATTTCAGGTACATATGAGTCTTTTATTAGGATTGATCAGTGCATAGGCCATATTCTGTCATTTTAAGTATTGTTAGTTGTGCTTCCCAATAACTTTGGGAATGCATTATATAACCTTGGACATGTTAGTAGGATGATGGAAGCTGTTATCTAAGACATTGGGTGGAAAAGGTCATGTTCAGTTTAATAAGAGCTTTATGCATTCCTGTCTTAAAAGAAGGCTGTAGTGAATTGAGTTCTCACCATCTAAAAAATATAGCACAACTCTTGGTTTTTGAAGGCAGCACAAGGCAATAGCCAATTCCTTCGATGGCACTCCATTTTTCTGAAAAGAGTCACTTTTTAGAGTGTGGCATAATTTAAATAAACAAATGGGCAGCCCCACATGATTGAATTTTTTTTTTAAAAAGTCATGAGAATTTCTCCAAGCAAAACAGGTTCAAAATGTCAGCAATTTTACTAAAGACTGAATACAATTGACGGATTGATTGTTAGATAGGTAGATTCATATAAGAAGATGGCCTGGGGTGCAAGATCATGGCAGGTTGTATGGTAATATTTATTTCTATCCTTTTTTCCCCAATTATTTAGCAGCAAATTTCCAAGCTGATCTTGCTGACCTGACCTGTGAGATTGAGATCAAACAGAAATTAATTGATGAACTGGAGAACAGCCAACGGCGCCTACAAACCTTGAAGCACCAATATGAGGAAAAGTTGATTTTGCTACAGAACAAAATCCGTGACACTCAGCTGGAGAGAGACAGGGTGCTGCAGAATCTCAGTAAGGGCTTACTGGTTGGGAAAACGGGATTTTTACAGATTGATCAGAGAGTCTGCTTGTGTTGTTCTGGTATTGAAAGGATTTTTATCTGTAATGCACAGTCAAAGCTCTGGTTTGAATGCACAAGAACTATCTGAATCTCAAACCTGAGTTAGTAAGTAAATCTTCAATTAGATTTACACTTTATGTCAAACTATGAGTTGTTTTAATTGCAGTGGTGTGGCCTGTCCATAATCTTAACTCTGTAAATTGTTGCTGAAAAATCACAATAACTAGGTATGCACAACATACTAATTCATAATTTGCAATGTGTGACTCAAAGCTTACTCTCAAAATTGTCAAATGTTGTGTAGTCAGAAAGATCAGTTTAAGTTGTATATGCGTATTAACCCTGTTTCCTTCAAAATATATGCTTTTTGTTTCCTATATGTTATTAGCTTCTAATGATTGAAAATTAGGGACGCGGTGTATCAGTGGCTAAGACGCTGCGCTTGTTGCTCAGAAAGTTTAGCCATTCGGTGGTTCAAATCCCTAGGGCTGCGTAACGGAGTGACATTAACAAGTAACTTGTTAACATCCTGTTAAAAGCATTCTGTGCACCTTCGGCGTTTAGTCATGCTGGCCACAGGACCACAGAGATGTCTTCGGACAGCACTGGCTCTTCGGCTCTGAAATGGAGATGAGCACTGCCCCCTACAGTTGGGAATGACTAGCACATATGTGCGAGGGGAACCTTTACCTTTTAATGATTGAAAACTGATCAAAAAAAAGTTTTATACAGTATTATAACTACTGCTTTACTATACATTCCCAAGAATGTGCCATTTCAAAATATGATGAAGGTTGCATGATTGAATGCTTTCTCCAAGTAAGACATGGGAGATGACCTGAATTCCTTGTATTAGCATGATAATTACTGCTTTGTGATTTGAGAGAAAAAGTCATGAAGTTCTCAAGTTGCTCTCTGAATAGGTATGTTCCTGGGAAGGTTTGTATTCTTCCTGAACTGTGACTCTGATTCCTATGATTTTGGGAGAATATAGGATTTAATTTAATTATGTTGTTATATATTTTTGTTATGTAAGAAGAGTGTCAGAAATATAATGATTTTTTAGGTCTACAAATATGGTTGCCATAGGTTAGGTCTGTTTGAAAAATCTCCTGTAGTTTGTCTTAATTTGCATCATGTTGATTCCATTATTGCCTTATCAGAAACTGCTCCAAGCACAGTGCCTTAATAGAGATTTAGATGAAATTGTTTTGCTTTGTTTTGCTTTCCTCTTCTCAGGCAGTATGGAATGCTATACAGAAGAGAAGGCTAACAAAATTAAAGCAGATTATGAGAAACGCTTAAGGGAGATGAATCGTGATTTGCAGAAGTTGCAGGCTGCCCAGAAGGAGCACGCTCGCCTTCTCAAGAACCAGTCTCGATATGAGCGAGAGCTGAAGAAGCTGCAGGCAGAAGTAGCAGAGATGAAGAAAGCAAAGGTAATTCAGTTGTGCCTTTTTGTGTGTGACAGAGAGTCTTTCTGTGTGTTTTCCTCATGACTATACTGGACATAGGCCAGAGTCAGAGTGTAAGGAGGAACATTTGTTGAACAAAAAAAATGGCAAAAAAAGGTCGGCCTCTGTCTCTTTCCCCCCCATGCTTTTATAGAGAGAATCTTGTACCATTTTTATTTTCTGAAAGGCTCAGTGAGGTTCAATCAGGCCAAAAGTTAGTAACTTGTTATCCGCTGTGTGTTTATCTTGCTATTCCAGCAGAAATTTAAATTTGGGTCATCTCTGTACAAAAAACCACACACATCCCTTGACAGTATCTTGGCCCTATATCAATACCAATTCAAACTATTTGTACCCTTGAGTTAGTTAAATTTGCTGTTTTGGTAAGACTCTCTTCTTCATTATCAGTACTATTGAGTTACCTGTTACTTACAGGTAGCCTTGATGAAACAAATGCGTGAAGAGCAACAAAGACGGAGAATGGTGGAGACCAAGAGGAACCGGGAGATTGCCCAGTTGAAGAAAGAGCAACGTAGGCAAGAGGTGAACAAGAACTCCCCCCCCCATTCTTCAACGTTTCCCACTTTGGGTCCTTTGGCAACTTTGATTATGCTCATCGATGTGGATATTGGAGATATAGCCAGAGGATCCATAAGTATAGAGGTTTATGTAGAATTAACATGGTGCTTCTCCTCCTCCTTTATACATTCCATGTGGTTTACGTTGTGTGCATACATAAATCTGTGTTTTCACAATATCTATATCAGTAAATTATTTCAGAGAAATACATCTCTACTCTATATGTAGTTATTCAGGAAAAGTGACATTGTAGAAGATGAAGCCTAAAAAAATTATGGTTATATTTTAACTTTATGAAATACATAATTTTATATTAGAATATATCACAATTAACAATAGAAAGATGAGGTGTAAACTTAAAAATATACAATATTATAAGCTAAAATATTGGTTTAACATCTAATATGGAATTTATCGAAAGAGAATCCTGAACTTTTTATTTTGGTACTTTTGCTGAAGGAACCGATATAATCCACAATGTAACATTTTAAGCAAGTTTAAATATTTTAACCACTTTTAAAAATGAACAAGAAAGAAAAGAAAGCAATTTCAAATACTCCATTAAAAAGCCATACTGTCTTGGATAGCTTTCCCCTCTCCAGATGGTGTACCATAAAAGAGCTGAATAAGAGCAGGGAGTTAAACTTCAGGGATTTATTTATTTACTTATTTTGGAGCTGGAGTTTCAATTAGAGGAACTCCTGACAGCCTTAGAAAATAATTGCTAGAAGAAGAACTGATATTCCCAACAGTGCTACAAGAATAACATTAGATCTTAAGGAAAAAAATGCAATGAAAGTCTGAAACCAGAGTTTTCCCATCTTATATAATCCACAGTTTCTGCAGGATGTATACAAATTTTATCTATTAACTCTTGATCAATAATCATACTGTTAATTTCGATCCATAAATCCCATTGGACTACAACAGGAAACATTTGGACAATCCCTGACAAACTGACATACAGTATATATTAAGCCTCAAGATATTATTAAGAGCTTTATCAGAGCAGTCAGTGGAGCATCCTAAGGAAAGTTTATTTCCTGGATGCTCCATTGTGGGATGTTGTCGATATTTTTTCCCATTGTTCCTACAGTATCAGATCCGAACTCTGGAATCTCAGAAGCGACAGCAGGAGATCGTCTTGCGCAGGAAAACCCAAGAGGTGAGGTGCAGGCTTAGGGTGTACACGGATAGCAAGTGATAAATCTGAGCTTTTTTTTAAAAAAAAAGTATTTGCCAGCCTACAACTTTGGAAATGTCTCCTTGTACTTGGATAATACATGTGGGTTTCTTGAGTGTGGTTTGTTGGATCACTCACACATAGCCATTGAAACAGAAATCTCAGGTAATGAACCAAGAAAAATATCTTGTGCTTATGAATCACGGGAACTCTGCATAGAGTGGGTGTGGGAGACCCCAAATGTATCTTTTGAGCATGTAAATGTATTAAACAGAATTATAATTTTTTTTAATCCAGACAAATCTGTAATTTCTTACCAAGAGACTGAGCATACTACTTCATTAGTGAAGTTGCTAAATTTGGTCTTGGCTTAGATCATCTGAGCTTGATTATAGATAATGTCTGGCATTTTGCATCATTTTGCCCTACATCTCAAAAACCTTGTTACTTGGGAGAAAATTCTTCCCCCAAATTTAGCTGCCTTTGTCCTGAGCCATTTGCCCTTCCAGTTTGGGGCTGTTATTGGAGATAACTGGGATCACTTTTGATTCTTCTCCTGAAACTTGATGCCTCAACCTATTTTCATATTTCTATTTGTCAAGACTCTTTTTTCTTCTTCTGGATTTCCAGGTCTCTGCTTTGCGTCGTCTCGCCAAACCTATGACTGATAGGGTTGCTGGGAGGATTAACCAGAAACAAGCCATGGGAGAGCCCGGTGCTGAAGTCTCCACCAGCACTACCAGCTCCTTAGAGTCAGAATCTGGTTCTCGTTCTGTCTCTAGCATTGTACGCCAGTGGAATAGAAAAACCAATGCTTTGCTGGGAGATTCTCCTTCCTCCTCAAATGGAACTCGGACAATCAGGTAAGATACCATGTTAACTCTCTGGTTATATTTCAAGCTATTCAAGGGATCTGTCAGAAAGTGCATATTTGTGTGTGTATTATATGTGGGTTTCTGTGAACATAGGTGGCTCAGTGGGTAAGATGCTGAGCTTGTCGATCAGAAAGGTCGGCAGTTCGGCGGTTCAAATCCCTAGCACCGCGTAATGGAATGAGCTCCCATTACTTGTCCCAGCTTCTGCCAACCTAGCAGTTTGAAAGCATGTAAAAATGCAAGTAGAAAAATAGGGAAGGTAACAGCA